ACTGTCCCTCAGCTCTTCAGCTCAAGGCTAGTGCTTTACCACTTGAGCCACAGTGCCACTTCCGGCTTTTTTCTTTTTGCTTATGTGGTGCTGAGGAAACAAACCCAGGGCCTCATGCATGCAAGGCAAGCACTCTACCACAGAGCCACCTTCCCAGCCCCAATAAAGAGCTTTTAATAATATATAGTAAGGCTTTTAAAAGTTGCCCTTGTATACATTTGTGCTTTGCAGTAGAAGTATGGGTAAGTATTGTTACTGAACAAAAGTAATGCATAAAAATACAAGAAATTTAAAATAGGTTTTCTTCTGTTAGTTGGAAGAGTTTTGTATATTAATAGTATATTTATTTTTCAGAAATATGTCTCTAAGAACAATGATTTTCCAAATTTTGTCAGCACAATTTTCTCTTAGATATCTTAAATAATTCTTTTTCAGTCACTATTCAATCTTTTGGAATTTAGAAGATTAGTTCTGAATTACAAGCCTCCATCAAATGCTCAAGATTTACCTCGAAATCAAAAGGTAAAATTATAAAGGATTTACAGAGTAATACTGAAATGCTGTTTATATCCTGTCATCTTATATCCATTCATCTTGATGAATTACTGATTCATCAAATGAGATTAAGAATGTTTTAACTTGCTATAGTAACTTCAGACCCTTTGTCAGTATATTGTAAATAATAATAGTATTCCAAATTTCCACTCAGGACCCCTCTATTGGGATTGCTAAAATTTCAATAACATTTATAGGCTACAATGTACAATTCATTTTTTCTCAATTTACTCTTGAAAAATGATAGGGAAATCAAAATTTCTTTTCAGTTGCTTGTTCAGAAGAATCCTTAAAAAAAAAAACAGATTTAGCTATAGTATCTTTACAGTCAAATTTTAACCTTCTGTTTTGTGTAAACTTTCTGTTTGTGTAAAGTGAGAGCAGACAAACTCCTAGGCCTGATTGACTGGTTTAGTCCCTTAATTTTTCATTGTTAGGTTCCTTGGTCTGTAAAATACAGAAAATAATAGCAGTTATTGCATGGGTGCTTGAGGGGATTTAATGAGACAATATAAAGAGTTTAAAAGTACCTATTATATTTAAATATTAGGTGGCAGCCATTGCCAGTTATTATATAATACTTTTATTTTAAAAACTTTGAAATGTAGGTCTCATTTGTGCCCAGATGTTGATACTTAACGGGAAAAACACTGACTGTGGAGATGAGATGCTGAGGTACAGGGCTTGACTGGTGTTTGTCATAAACTTCCTGAGCCCTAAAGTAACAAGAAGGTGGTACAGGTTTAGGTTACAGTAAAGTACTGAACTTCTTGTGACCTATTATTGTAGTGTTAAATTATTAAATGATGTTTTTCTTTTAGGGTTTAATTTTTAAGACAACTTTTTTTTTCTGCAAACATGTGAAACATTCATAAAGCACTCTGGAAGGGATATTACTTGATGTAAAACCAACTTTTCAGGCTGTAATCTCAGGTTGTGAAATGTCAGGCTTGAAAGCAATTATGTTTAAAAGAGAACTGACTCTAACAACATCTCACACTCCTGAAAAATTAGGCAAAAGCTCTTCAGTCTTAGTAGTTTATACTTGGCATTTTCTGGACTATTCTTTCCTTTGATCACAACTTGTTATTATCAGTAATTCTTTTTTAAAAAAATTATTGTCAAGGTGATGTATAGAGGGGTTGCCGTTACATAACTAAGGTAGTAGTTACATTTTTTGTCTAACTTGTTACTCCTTCCCTCATTTTTCTCCCTCTTTCCCTCCTTCCCCAACCCCCTCTTCCCGCCCCTAGGTTGTGCAGATCATTCCCAACATAATGTCTTGTATCGCTGTTTCATAAGTTCCCCCTTTGTCTTTTGTCTCAATGTTTAGTTGTTCCCCTTCCAGTACCCAGGGTACCAATCTCAAGTATAATTATTTGACATTATGTAGTTATTTATGCTTACATACCTGTATTTTCATGACAGACGTACATATCTCTACATATCTCTGTATATGGTCTTACTCTTTAATTTTTCACACTTAAGTAATTTGAGAGCTTTATTTTTTATAGTTGAATAAAAAGTTTCTTTAATCTTTAAGAAGTATTTATTACATCTTTGTTTCCATAACCAGGGTTAGTGAGGCCATGAACATGCTAGAGAAATGTATAATCAACCCTCCTCCTCCCCTCCCTCCCTCCCTCCCTCCCCTCCCTCCTTTCCTCCTTCTCTCCCTCCCTCCCTCCCTTCCTTCCTTCCTTCCTTCCTTCCTTCCTTCCTTCCTTCCTTCCTTTTTCTTTCTTGTTTGTACTGGAGTTTTCTAGGCAGGTTCTCTACCACTTGAGTTGTAGACCACCCCATTTCTGCTTTTCCTATTTTTTGAATAGGTTCTTTGTATTTTTGCCTGCGTGGATCTGTTTGGATCTACGTAGAGTTTCCATGTAGTTGAATTGCAAAAGTGCACTGCAATACCAAGGTTGTTAGTTGAGATTGTGCCCATTTTTTCCCATGCTGACCTGTAACTATGATCTTCCTACTCCTCTTTTTTGAGGTGGGAGGATTACAAGCATCTGCCACTGTGTATGGGTCTAGAGATAGTTATTTCTTGCAATGAAAGGATTAGTAGCATATCTGGGTATTTTTTATTTTTTATTTTTCTCAGTCATGGGGCTTGAACTCAGGGACTGGGCATTATCCCTTTTCTTCTTTGCTCAAGGTTAGAGCTCTACCACTTTGAGCCATAGCTCAAAAGTGATTAATTAGAGATCAGAGTCCCATTAGACTCTCCTGCCTGGGCTGGCTTCAAACCACAATCCTCAGATCTCAGCCTTCTTAGCAGCTAGAATTATAGATATGAACCACCAGTACCTGGCCCAGATATTCTTCTGATTTAGGGAGTTAAAACAATTTCTCTCATTATTTAAAACATACATTTAGGAGACTACTGTATCATTTTATATAGGATTGTCTGCAGTTATTTTCCAGTTTTACATGGTGCCAAATTGATGCCATTGAAGCAAATGTGATGATATAGGTCCTTGTCAGGCAGTGATTTGTGTTATGCTCACTTGAGGTCATAAAAGACCCATTTTTAAATAAGGTATCAGTGTAACTTCTGCTACTTATTATTTAATGTCAAATTTACATCCAACTTATGAATTGTGTACTGCCATATTGAGCTTAAAAATGAATGCATTTGGGATCAGTTTAGTCAAATCCCAGGGATGCCATTTGCAGCTAACCACCAAAAGTTGCCACAGATATTTATATATAGAGTGAGAAGAACAGATTGAGTTTGATCTGGTTCGAACATTGATAGATCGGGCTTCTACTTCTTGAAATTGAAACTATTCTTTTCACTTATGTTTGTTTAAATTGTTTGTAAGTTTATGTTGAGAATGGTGAGATTACTAGAAAAACTTAATCATTTCCTTGTCCTCAAAGGAAATCTGGATTAAAAAGTTACAAATGGAGACTAAAACACAATAACTGTTGAGAATACAAAGAATAAAATGTCATATATAATAGAAATCAATACATAAACATCTGGTAATGACTGCAAAGCTGCTTCTTGAGAAAATTAGTTCAATTGTTCTAAAGACTATGGATCAAGGAAAAAAATACAGAAACTAGGACTATAAAGGCTGAGAAAAGGGAAGAACACTTAATCAAAGGCTTAGATTAGTTGAAATCTTAATTTAGGACAAAAATTTCCACATGAGCATTTTTGTCTCCTTTCCCCTGTATGGGAATGACAATCATAATACAAGGGACTGTGTATAGTTGAGGAATGCACTGTATTTAGAAGCTAATACCTGAAAGACTTTTGAATTATTCCCACCCACCCGCCCCCCCCCAAAAAAAAGAAAAAGAATTCTGGATGTATAAGTTTCAATAAGTGTTTAAAGGATTCAGCATGTTGCAATATATTTTCTGAATACAAGGAACTTGTTAGATGTCAACCATAGAAAGGTATCTAGAACATTTCGGTAATTAGGAACTAACATGTCTCTAAATATGCTAAGGAACCTACAAAAATTAGAAATTTTAGAATGTTCTGAACAGAATGAAAATTGTAACATGACCTGCCAGAATTAGATTCAGTTAAAGCAATGATTAGTGGAAAATCACCTAGTAGACACAGAAGAGTTCATATTAATGAACAACTGCTTGCATAGTCAGAAATTAGAAACAAGCATGAATCTCAAAGTTGAAGAAAGGAGAAAATGATAAAATAAAAATAGGAATCACTGAAGTAGACATCAGAAAAAAAACATAATAGAAAATTAGTGACTGCAAAGCTGCTTCTTGAGAAAATTAGTACAATTGTTCTAAAGACTATGGATCAAGGAAGAAAATACAGAAACTAGGACTATAAAGGCTGAGAAAAGGGAAGAACGCTTTACATTTTGTGTATGAGAGATCTCATAATCAGAAGACAAGTATGTGGAAGGCCACAGCTGATGAAATCCGCTGATGTAGAAGTACATCACCTGAAGTGACCTACAGTCTCAGTAAGCCAAAATTCCACCAAAATATTCAACAGCCATGTTTTTACAGAAAATTGACAGGGAGGATTTTGAAGTCAGAGCAAGTCCTTGTCTACAAAAGTGTACTTTTAGTTATTTTTCAGATGGGCTCTTAGTTTTGTCCTGCAACATCTTCTCCTGCCTCTGCCTCACACTGTGGGATTACAGATCTGCACAGTGATACTTGGAGAACAACTATTTCTATCTGAACTATAGATTTCTAGGCAGATATTATGTAAAGTTACTTAAATACATGTCTGTAGTGATTTTGTTAATGATAATTTTTGTAAACTTGGAGTTTCTCTCATATTTATATTAGAATTGGTACTGTAAGAGCTAAATATAAGAACTGTTTATCCAGTTTGTTGTCTAGAAGCATTCCACCTGATTATGTAAATATGGTTATGAAATATTTCCTTTTATCTCTTTTAAAACAAGTAGGAAATAATTGATAACGGTTTTTTTTAATTTATGGTTTGGTTGAATACTTTGTGTAGCAAAATGTTGCTTAAGGGATTCTGAACACTTTATCTTTGAGAAGGTTACGGTTTTATTGAGGGGAACATTAAAATTTTAGAGTACTAAGAGAAATATGTTTTAGTGTCATAGTGGGATCTGGTTTAATACTAGATTCATATACTTAGTAAAAACCAAAATTAAGCATAGCAATTGTAATTAGATTGCATTTAATATGTTATAAACTAATGACAGTGTTTCTATAAATAATAAAAAATCATAAGTAGCAAAAATGAAAAATAAATGTAAATACTATTTGCTATTTATTAAATTGCTAAGAAGTATTTAGATAAAGTTATAGTATTGGTCTAAAAATTGGGAACATCCCATCAGCAATAGCAGGTGGAGATTCATAGAACTTGAAGACATTCTTACGTTGGAGTTGTCTAGAAAGGCTTACATGGGTTTATTGGGGGAATGACTTAGAACAGGGCCTGGCCTGTAGTGAGCGCTTATTGAATGTTGGCTCTTATTATTGCTTTTGTCAGCAGCAGCTGGGTCTTGCTGAATGGGAAGGATTATAATAAACACACTCAAATGCAGTGGATATTCTTGGCTGAGTAATGACATGATATGCTGTGAATATATAGCATTTGTGCTGAAATTGTGAACCTAGCCTAGATCTTCTCTCTTCTTGTTTAACTTTTAAGTCTTATAGATAATGCCACTGTTATTATCGTTAAGAACAACACAAAGTGCTGTATTTTTCCATAATATGTGTCAGTTATTTTAATTTTGGGTTATGGTTATGTGACTTTCGCTGGTCTAGTGAAGATTTTAATCTTCACTTAGATTTTTGTTTTCTTTGTAGGAACATCGAAATTTGCCTTTTATGCGTGAACTGAGGTACCTATTTGCACTTCTTGTTGGTACTAAAAGGAAATATGTTGATCCATCAAGAGCAGTAGAAATTCTTAAGGATGCCTTCAAATCAAATGACTCACAGCAGGTATTTGATCATTAAACATTTTTGTCTATTGAATCTTATAGATCCCTGAACAACTTTTCCAATAATGTGGAAGTAATGTGAAAAGTAACATACATGCTGGCTTTTAACAGAAGATCAGTTTTGAGCTTCATAAGATTGTGGACTTAACTTACATTGTATAAGTTGTTAGTTTTGAGATTTTTCAAGACTGATCTAGTTGGAAACCAGCCTTTGTTTGAAAGATGAGCACATGGAATTTTGTGTGTAGTGTTACCCACTTTCAGTCCTTTCAACAGAGAAAGTGCTTTGTACATTATTCTATGAAAAGCCTGAAGCTTGCTTTCTATTGAGCAGTGAGAAATTATTTAACTCATGTCATCCTCCCATACTTAACCAGCTTGATAGCTTTGCGTATACAATGTAAAGTACACACATAGAAATTTGTGACTGTTTTTGTTACATACCCATGTGATTGAATATATCAGACAGAATATATTTTAATGATTTCACTGCCCTGGAATTAATTACCTGCAATATTAAAAAGAGATTGTGGACTTAATTATTAAGGTATTGGTAACTAGCTTTAGCTAATCTGCCAAATCTAACAAGAGTCTTGGTAATGGTGGTACAGCTTAAAAATTATTGAATCAAGAAACTGAATTGTCAAAAAAAAAAGCACTAATTTTCTAAAAGAGAGGCAGTGATGATCAATTAGGAAGTTTATTTCTGTGGATGGTACTAAATTTTTTTTACAAGCTTATTTGTAGAGAGAGAGAGCATGTATGCATGTATTACCCAGTAAATGGTTATAGCATATTTTAAAGTATTAATTATATACTGGTTAAAGTATAAAAATTGGTTTTATTTATGTGAAACATTTCACGTGATGTTTGTGAACAATTAGTAATTATATTTTTTAAAAGCTGACTCTAGGTTTTATGTGGTAACACCGTTTTTAGTATGCTCAATAAGACTACTTCTTTTTCCACAGCAAGATGTGAGTGAATTTACACACAAATTATTAGATTGGTTAGAAGATGCCTTCCAAATGAAAGCTGAAGAGGAGACGTAAGTTACCATGAAGTTTAATGATAAGAACAGGAATTCAATAAATAGCATTACATTTTTACTCCTATGTGCTCCATGTCAAAAAAGAAATAGGAACCAAGACATACTTGTGAAAGTGCCAGTATTACTTGTATTACTAGCAAGCTCTTTGGGATTTGTGGGCACACATTCTCATAGCTTTTAGTTTCCACCTAGACATCAGTGTAGTTCAGAATCTAGCCAGGATGATCTAAAATGTGATTGCTGAAAGGGTTCTTCTAAGTGCCCAGTCAAGTTCCTTCAATTCTACAATCATTAACAAGGAGTAACAGATTAATGGTGGCATCTCCATTAATATCTCCTGTGACCAGTGAGTTGTTAAATCTCCATTTGTTTAAAACTTTTCTATACTCTCTGTGGCTATTGAACTCTAATTTCATTATGGTTTGGTAAGGTTACAAGAAGTTATTTCAGTTTTCTTCTAAGCCAAGAGACTTGCTTTATAGTTTGGAATATGATGTATTTTGGATAATGTTTCATGGGCTGCTGAGAAGGATGTATATTGTGCAGCTTCTGGATGAAACACTGCAGATATCTGTTAAATACATTTGATATATGAATCATTTGTTCTGAGATTTCTTTGTTGACTTTTTGTCCTATCTATTGGTAAGAGGCATTAAAGTCTCCCACTATTAATTGTTCTTAGGTCTGTCAGTGCTTGTATTTCTAGAACTGTTTATTTAGTAGACTTACCCAGGTCCATCTGCGATCTGGTGTGTGTCTGTTAACAACTGCAATTTCCTTTGAAAGTTCATTCCTTTTTCAATATAAAGCGACTTTTGTCTCTTCCAACTGATTTTAGTTTGAACTCTGATTAGATGTATGGCTATGTACACACACACCTGTATGGGGATCAAGGCTGTGGAAGTTGAATGTAATAGATCCAAGTAGAAGGGTTCGGTCTCCATCAACAGTCACCACAAGAGCCAGGGACAGGGTAGTGAAAACTTTAGAATCCTTAGGCTCAAAAGTTTCTTGCCAGCCTGGCCTTGGGCAATGGAATTGTCCTCTACCCGGGAAGCTTTTAGCCATAGACAGCAGCCACAACCATGACTCCTTATACGTCTCAGTTACCTCAATAGCACCTCTGCTGTGTGACTGGATAGTGGTTCATGAGGCTCCTCTCTGTCGTGTTTTGGGCAGCTGCCTTTACCTTTTTAGCTATAATGGTGGGCTGTTCCAAGTGTTATGAGTCTCTTTTCTAGTCCTTTATGGACAAATACAAAGGGTGCCATGCTGTCTGGCACATCACAGAACCAGAATTTTCTGTTACCTGGTAATGCCACTGCCTCTGGTGTCTAACGTGATGTTGTATTTTGAAACAGTTTATGTTTATCTGAGGGACCCTGTCAAACACACTTCCCTCTCCTCAACCAACTCTTACAACTCAAAAATCAATATCAGAGTGTTCTGTGAGTCATTGAACTCTGATTGCTCCATCTATGGAGGCTCTGAGAGGAACTTAGTCCCAAGATGGGCACTTCCTCAGGATGGGGCTTACTGCTGAATGCTGAGACAGGGGAGCCACAGAATGTAGGGAGTATTATACATATAAAAGAATAGCAAACAGTCTGCAAGAGATATTTAAACATGCATGATCACAACAGCAGTATTCATAAGTGCCAAATAATAGAAGCAAACCAAATCCATCAAAAGATGATTGAGTGAGCAAGATGTAGTGTGTTGAAACAATGAAATATTATTCAGGAACTTTGACATATAGTATGACATGATGAACCCAGAAGACATTATCCTGAAATTACGCTAGTCACCAAAAAAAGACAAATAACCCTAGAGATCTATGCAAGAATGATGGTTGCCACAGGCTGTGGAGAGAATGGAAATGGATTGGTTAGTATATAAGATTTCAGTTTTAAAAGAGAATAAGAGTTCTAGAATTTGGGCTGGGATTTAGTTCAGTGATAGAGCACTTGGCTAAAAAAGTTCCATGCCCTGGGTTCGATTGTCAGTGCCAAAGAAGAAACGACGAAATACAAAAAGTTCTGGAGTTGCTTGTATGATGGGAAAACAAAAGTGGCTAGTGTGGTATACTTTGTGTTATACTTTGATAGTATGATATACTTTGTGTCATTTTATCACAATTAAAAAACAATTGACAGGGGCTGGGAAGGTGGCTCAGTGGTAGAGCGCTTACCTTGCATGCATGAAGTCCTGGGTTCCAGTCCTCAGCACCACATAAGCAAAAAGAAAAAAGCCGGAAATGGTGCTGTGGCTCAAGTGGTAGAGCACTAGCCTTGAGCTGAAGAGCTGAGCGACAGCGCCCAGACCCAGAGTTCAGGCCCCACAACAGGACCCAGAAAAAAACAAAAAACAAAAGAACAACTGACATTGGTGGCGGCTCATGCCTATGATCCTAACTACACAGGAGTCTGAAATAGGAGGGTCATGGTTCAAAGCCAGCCTGGGCAGGAAAGTCCAGAGACTCTTCTCTCCAGTTATCTACCAGAAAAGCTGAAAGTGGAGCTATGGCCCAATTAGAAGAGTACTAGCCTTGAGCACAAAAGCTCAGAAACAGTGGCCAGACTGTAAGTTCAAGACCTACCTCCAGCACACACATACAGACACAGACACACACACACACACACACACGCGCGCGAAAGAAACAAAAATTAAAGAGTGAGTTAGAGTGTGGCTTACCATGTACTTGCAAGCAAAAGGACGGAATTTTTTTTTGAATAGTATTAAAGAGGAACATACAGCCTGTTGTATTATTGAAAGAATTAAGTGATATACCACTCTTTTTCTAAGGATTGAACGGTGTCCTTTGTGACACAATCATCAAAACCATGTGTTTCTAGCTGGGAAAGTGGTTCAGTGGTAGAGTGCTTACCTCACATGCATGAGGCCCTGTGTTGGATTCCTCAGCACCACATAAACAGAAAGAGCTGGAAGTGGCACTGTGGCTCAAGTGGTAGAGAACTGACCTTGAGCTGAAGAGCTGAGGGACAGCGCCCAGACCCATAGTTCAAGCCCATGACCAACAAAAAAAAGTGTCTTTTTAATTTTTTTGTCAGTTTTGAGGCTTGAATTTAGGGCCTAGGCCCTGTCCCTGAACTTCTTTTGCTTAAGGCTAGCATTCTACCACTTTGATCAATAGCTCCACTTCTGGTTTATTGGTGGTTAGATGGAGGTAAGAGTCTCATAGACTGTCCAGCCTAAGCTGGGTTTAAACTGTGATCTTCAGATCTCAGTCTACTGAGTAGCTAGGATTATTGACATAAGCCATCAGAGCCGGCCTGTCTTTTTTAAACAGTATTTACAAATCAATTTGATTCAAATACAAAATGTAGCAAAATGTTATATATGATGTTTGAGTACAGCACATTTTAATACAACAAAACCAAGATAAGTTGTGTTTGGGGGACCACATAAATACTTTATTTAGGTCCTTTTTTTTTGCTTTTTGACATGGGATCTTTACTCTATAGCCCATACTACTACTCCTCCTCCCTTGACTTCCTAAATGCTGGCATTAGGCACCTAGTCCAAAATTGTTTTTGTGTTTGTTTACTTCAAAAAGTATTAAATTATTTGGATAATTATACAAAAATGTATTTTAAAATTATTTGGCTAATTCACAGATAGCTAATTCTACTAGCAGTGTGAAACTTACAATAAAGGATAGCGTAGGTTCTTAGTGCCTCTGCTTGGAGCTGGTGATTTTTGGATTATATTTACCGTTCCATGTAGGAAATAATAAAAATAGGGAGAATCTTATTTTTATTGGACATTGTTTTACCTCATTTTCCGTCAAGCCAAATAAACCAAATTGTGCATTTTTAAGTATATGGTTGAAATATATCATGATAATAGGAAAAAGCAGACACTTTGTGAGCACCAACTATGATGTATCTTTTCTAAGATTGGTCTATGTAATAACTCATTTTAACTCTTGTCACAGTTTTCTGTGAGTTCAATTACATCACTACCTTTAGTTGCCAGGTGAACAAAGTAAAGAGTAAACTTACTTGTCTAGGTGACACAGGAAATAACAGAACTGTGTGCATGACAGCCAATAAACGTTCCCATCTTGTTGTATATTTTTTTTTTTTTGGGTCCGGTCGTGGGGCCTGAACTCTGGGCCTGGGCGCTGTCCCTCAGCTCTTCAACTCAAGGCTAGCGTTCTACCACTTGAGCCACAGCGCCACTTCTGGCTTTTTTCTTTTTGCTTATGTGGTGCTGAGGAATCGAACCCAGGGCCTCAGGCATGCAAGGCAAGCACTCTACCACTGAGCCACCTTCCCAGCCCTTGTTGTATATTTTTATTAATGCTTTCCCTGCTATTTATAGATCTAAAATTATAGACTTGTGTGTTTATTTTTAATATCCTCAGGGATGAAGAGAAGCCAAAGAACCCCATGGTAGAGTTGTTCTATGGAAGATTCCTCGCTGTAGGAATACTAGAAGGTATGGTTACACATTTTCTCTTTATTGCAAGTGAAAATGACACTACCCTCTATTGACTCTTTTATATATATTTTTTTCTTTTCTCTCTTCCTTTCTTCTTCCCCCACCTACTGGAATATGAACTCTAGGCCTTGTTCTTGCTAGGTAGGTGCTTGCTCCACTACTTGAGCCATACCCCAGCACACTTTCTTTCTTTCTTTGTCAGATAAGAGTATAGCATGTTTGCTTCTCGAGGGCCTCATACTATAATCCCTCTAATGTCACCTCCCAAGTAGCTGGAAATATAAACATGTGCTACCATTCCCAGCTGTCAATGGCTCTTATTTTCTGGTTTATTGGTGCTGGAGTTTAAACTCCGATCCTAATGCTCACCAGGTAACACTCTAATACTGAGCCATGTCTCCAGATCTTTTTGCTTATTTATTTATTTTTTTTTTGTGATAGGGTCTCACTATCTGCCATGGTACACTAGGAATACAGTCCACCTGTTTTATTTAGGCTTCTCAACATAGCTGGGATGTCAGATGCACTCCACGTTGTCATCTTCCCTTTATAGAAATGGGCCTTTCGTAGGCTTTTCTGCCTGGCCTGGCCTAGAACCATAGTCCTCCCAATCTCAGACTCCTGCATAGTTTAGGGTAATAGGCACATGCCATTGTGTGGAATGAGAAAAGGGTCTTTCAAACCTTGCTGCCTGGGATGACAATGAACCATATTCCTTCCCCTTTTGAGTCTCCTAAATAGCTAGGTATGAGCCACTATCCTGGTGCCTGGCTTCAGTGTCATTTTGATGTATTATTACTCATCATGTTATCTCCAGGCTGGTCATTTAAGTCCAGTCCTGTGCCCTTTCCATACATGTATACGTGTGTGCATGTTTGTGTGTTTGATTTCATCTACATTTGTAAATTTCTGTTAGCAACTCAGCCCATGCTATTTTATTTCTAGATGGCTTCTGCAATAGTTACCTAACATTCTCACCCATTGTACACAGTCATAAAAGCATTTCAGAGACATGTCCAATTCCATTATTCTTAGAGGTAACTGAGCAACTTTTCATATTCAGAATGTAGTATAAAAGATTTCTATGAGGTTTCAGAGCCTTATAGTCTCTATGAAACCCTGCTATACGTCATTGTCTTCTCCTTGTTTCTCCATGTTACACTGTCCTTCCTTACATGAAACATGCATCAACATACTTGTTATGCCATTCCTTGGCCAACAGTCTTACATAGTCTGCAACAGTCTGACCTGGCAAACTTCTACTCACCCTTCAAATCTCAGCCTGAATATCACTTTACCTTGATAGTCTTCCCTATGGTATCCACTGCCCCCGCAAGACTGGATTTGGTCTCCTTCTGTACCCCCTCATAGCACACTGTGTGTGTGTGTGTGTGTGTGTGTGTGTGTGTGTGTGTATCTTTTGTAATTACTAGCATAAAAAATTACTAATTTATAAGTATGTGTGAAATAATTGTGTATAATGTGTTGCAAACAGAAGTGAAGTTATTTTTTAGTTCAGGATCACCTCTCTATGCTAACTGCTGTAGGTGTGTCCATGGTTAACATGATATCTTGCTCTTAAAAATACTTCTTGCAGCTGGGCTCTGGTGGCTCACACCTATAATCCTAGCTACTCAGGAGGCTGAGATCTGAGGATTGTGGTTCAAAGCCATCCCAGGTAGAAAAGTCAATGAGACTCTTATCTCTAATAAATTACTCTGAAAAAGACAGAAGTGGTAGCATGGATCAAGTGGTAGAGCACTAGCCTTGAGCACAAGAGAGATCAGAGACAGCGCCCAGGCCCTGAGTTTAAGCCCCAGGACTGGCAAAAACAAACTTGCAAGAGTTATTGTATTTCTGCTTCTCTCTCCCTCCTCTCTCTCTCTCTCTCTCTCTCTCTCTCTCTCTCTCTCTCTCTCTCTATGTATGTGTTTGTGGGGGGGGTAACTAATGTCTGTGGTTGAATATGAGCACACAGGTGTATGAATCAATATATCAATAAACTAATGGGGAAGTTGTACTATTTGACACAGAACCTGAGTGTTAAAATTTTGAGGTTTAGGAAAGAATCTGTAAGTATTCTTTTGTGGAAAAACTTCTTTGAGGGATATTAATCTGGTCAACTTTTCCCCTTCTTATAGGTAAAAAATTTGAAAACACTGAGATGTTTGGTCAGTATCCACTTCAAGTCAATGGATTCAAAGATCTGCATGAGTGCCTAGAAGCTGCAATGATTGAAGGAGAAATTGAATCTTTACATTCAGAAAATTCAGGAAAATCAGGCCAAGAGGTGAGGTTAGCATTGCTATTACCCTCTTGTTTGCTCAGGTCTTTCCTACACAGACATAAAGCACAATTCAGTATTTTAATTATATGGTTCTTAATCATTGAAAAATAATTCAGAAACATAATTTTGGAGTTACTTACGTTAGTTTAGATAGACTTGGAAATATGAACAGTTAATATGATCTATAGTATATGTGAAATTCTCATTTAAACAATTTATTAAAACATTTTTTTGTATCAGTCTGACTTTGGGATATTGCTTAATGTTACTGTATCTTTGAATCATGGTATTAGTAGCATATCAGACTTGGAAGTTAAGAAACGTGCACTGATACTAGGGCAGATGTTTATACTGGTACTTGTTGCTTACATCGGGTATTGGGATTTGCATCACAGTATTCCTCTTCATACATACTTTCTGGTTGATTACATAAGGTCAGATGGAAGAACTTGCTTTTTCAACAAAGAAGTGTAACTTTCTATTAAATATGTGTAATCTCACAAAAACAAGGTTTTTGAAGTACATTTTGAGAGAAAAACCTGTTTTTTAAAAAATGTTTTAAGAGTACTGTATTTCCTCTAGAAATTGTCTTACAGAAATTATGACAAATTTAAGAGCACTTTGGCTGTTAATGGTGATTATGTAAATCTTTTCTAACTGCAGAAATTTGTTCTTAATATTAGACCATTATACAGTATGGCAATGATGCTGTGCTTAGAGATAACATTAAAGTTACCTTTAATGACCTGTGTGTTACTAGCATGGGATATTAGATTATAGAAAAGTAAATTAATTTTTTTGCCAAATGAAAAATTGTTTTTTTTAATTCTAGTTAGTATTATATGAATATATACTGCTACACTTTTAATGTGATTAATTGCAGAGCTCAGAATATTATTAATGGCTTGTAAAATGAATTTTGGTAATGTCTGGTCATATCATTATGTTGCATGAGCAATAGAATGAGGCAGTAAAATCCTTCCACTTCTCATGGTAGGAAACACCTGCCATTACTCACAGAGGAAGTGCATTCATAGCACAGACACAAAACATTATATGAACATCTTTTGCAAGGTAAGGAAGCAATTTGTGTTTCCTGGACATTTTACAGTCTGTGCAAGAGCATACCCAATCTAGCTACTGTCAACTTCTAATGAATTACAGCATGTAGCTTTAATTTTAATGCTGATGTTTAAAGTATCACAGTAAAATATACAGGTAACAGTGCTTGAAATGTGCTTACTTGTTTGTATAGCACTAAAATGGAATATGGGATATTATCTTAAATAATCACAATTTCATGAGATATGTAGGCTAATGTTTTGGGTTTTTTTTCTTCTTGAGTCAGTACAGCCCAGGTTGGCCTTGAAAACTCATGTGGCTGAGACTTGCCTGGACACTCAGGACAGAGTGCCAAGATTACACCTAGGCAATACCATGCCTAGCTATTTTGATTTTTAGCAGCAATGTGGGTGTAAATTAGAATTCACTAAAATTCCTATCAGTGCCCTGTGAAATAAAAATAAGTAAGCATATTTTTCTTAGCAAAATAAAATTTGAGATGTTTATAATATTGGGGTAAAAAATTACCCATATCCAGCTGAGGAAATAGCAGTTTGCAAGATCATTAGCATTTGGGGAGGGAGAAGTAGTGTTAAATAACCACTTATTTAATTAATGCTTTCTCTAGATAAAAGTAGCATCTTTCAAGATCCTAGTTTAATTCAGTTTACCAGGTGAGCTTCCTTTCTGCTTTTGTTAGATGCCTTAATTTAAATTAGTATCCTTTTAATGTTTTGACAGAGAATGTGGCATTTTATGTCAATGGAAATGATTACACACAGTAAAATCTATACAGCAGTTTCTTTTTTATAGAAGTAACTTATAAAGCTTATTAAATACATCAAATAATAGTACAATTTTTTATACTTTATATTGATTGACAAGTTAAAAACTTTTCCTTCTCTTGAAGTAATTGTTTATGTAAAACAAAACTTACATAAAAATAATCTTCTTTTGAGGATTGGTTGAATTTCATATTTCATTGAACAGCTACCAAATTCTGTCTGGGCTTTTGAGTGGAGGTAGGAAATTATAACCACATTCATTATTTTTTTGGGGGTCCAGTCGTGGGGTCTGAACTCTGGGCCTGGGCTCTGTCCCTCAGCTCTTCAGCTCAAGGTTAGTGCTCTACCACTTGAGCCACAGTGCCACTTCTGGCTTTTTTTTTTCTTTTTGCTTATGTGGTGCTGGGGAATTGAACCCAGGGCCTCATGCATGCAAAGCAAGCATTCTACCACTGAGCCACCTTCCCAGCCCCACATTCATTATTATTTGGCTCATAATAACAAATACTTGTTAGTTCTTGCTATATATATTTAATATAATCATTTTAAGTTCCAATCTCATGCTTGTTAGTGATTTATATTTTTCATAAATTAGTTAAATATATGAAAATGTTATGTTTTGTTTTTAAGATAAAAATAGTTATCATTTGTGATATAAAAGTACCTTTTTTCTTTTCAGTATTATACCTTACAAATTATTTTTTTCACAAGATTTTGCCAGTGCAATTCAACATGATTTTGAAAAAGAAAACCTGAGCTATGAAGCCTTGATTTTAACCAGTGTCTTTTCTTTTGATTAGAATGTCTAATGTAAGCAGTGATCTTAGAAGGAAATTGTTAGCAGATTTTTATCTTTTCTGATTATGTGTAGTACTCACTGTTGGAGTTGTCAAAAGGTATGGGAAACTTTCAGGAAGAAGTTGCATTTTAACTAAATCGTGTGTGTTCCCAAGCCCTATGTTCTTAGACATATTAACATGATGGAATGTAAAATTGATGTGTAAGATTTCCGTGGTAAAAATGGAAATGTTAAAAGTTTGTTTTTTTTTTTGTTTGTTTTCTTTCAGCATTGGTTTACTGAACTGCCACCTGTGTTAACTTTTGAATTGTCAAGATTTGAATTTAATCAGGCATTAGGACGACCAGAAAAAATACACAACAAATTAGAATTTCCTCAAGTATTATATTTGGACAGGTATGATCTGCTATAAAACATACTTAGCTTTCTAGCAATCGAGAAGCAAATGAATTAATAAAATCTATGTTTTTCATGATACACTCATACTATATACCAATGAAAATGGAGTTACATTATATTACAAAAGTATAGATAATGGAAATATTATTACAGAGAAATTAAAAATGAGATTTTTTTGTGTGATCTCAAACTACTGTTAGCATTTTTAAAAATACAATTTTGTGTTATTTAGAATTTTAAATAAATTTATCACTTACGGTGATAGTTATACCTAGCCTTGTATCTATTTCTAAGATATTTGGAAATACTAATAGTGGTTTTTTTCTTAATAGATATATGCACAGAAACAGAGAAATAACGAGAATTAAGCGGGAAGAGATCAAGAGACTGAAAGATTACCTCACAGTATTACAGCAAAGATTAGAAAGGTATGACATTTTGGAATTATAACTATAGGAAATCATGTTAATTAGTGACTAGGTTTTTTCTTTTAAATTTGCTTGATGTGATTCATAGTATAAGAGTAACTAGTAATCTTTCTGTATTGACAATTTGCTTCAATAATTTTGAGCTTTGTTAGAAACGTGAAATAATTTATAGGTGAATTTAGAGGATTATTTTAATATGTAAAATTAAATATCAACAAGTAATTATCATGGTGTTAATAGTAGGAATAAAGAGTAAATTACTATTGTGCCTAAGATTCAATATTACTCCTGAACTATCTATTAAAATGAATAGTGTCTTATGTTTTTCTCCTTAATATACAAGATACAAACTTGAGTAAATAACAGTACCTGACTACAGCTTTGTAAAAAGAGGGAACCAGGTCCCAAACAGGGGTTAAGGGGTACCTCAGTACCATGTCTTGCATGGCCAGAATTCATGCTTACTATTTCTGAGGGTAAGTGAAGAGATTTGTGCATATGGTATCTCTGTTGTCTTAGAGCTTTGCATTATTTCTAAAACAAGCCAAGATCAAGACCAAAATATTCTGCAAGAAGACAGTCTACAGAGTGAAATGGGGCTTGATAGATCCAAGTTTACAGCCTCTAACTTAAATCTCTGTAACTTCCTTCTTATTTGCAAATTAATAGCCTAAAATTTCTGAACAAAAATAACATTTCTTATTTCAATAATTTTTTTCCCACCAAAATGTACCAATACTATTAAACAGTATTGACAAATGAAAGTAGGAGGGTATAAATCACCATCTTGGTCATGAGCCCACATACGAAATTTAGAAAAAAGAAAAGAATCTCTAGAGTGTGTACTGTCAGTGTCTTCTTCCTGTTTAAATACTATTATCATAATGATTTGAACATTTTAACAGCTTTATCAGCTTTAGTTTTCTTTCTTTGGAGAACCTATATTATATTTCTTGAGTGTGATTCAGTTTACATTTTTCATTTTAAAGAAGTGAATTTTACTGTTGTGGCAGAGTTACTGAACCACTGTACCATGTTTTATGAGAGTCATTAAAAAAATAAACGTATTGTACATGCAAATAAAAGCATTTGTGTGTTGTTGTTTTTAAACAGATATTTAAGCTATGGTTCAGGTCCCAAACGATTCCCTTTGGTAGATGTTTTACAGTATGCATTGGAATTTGCCTCAAGTAAACCTGTTTGCACATCTCCTATTGAAGATATTGACTCTAGTTCTCCACCTAGTGGTTCTGTAACATCACAACCATTATCAAGGTAAAGTTTGCTGTAGGCTCCTGTTATATTACATACAATGGATGCCTTCAAGTTTTATAAAATGAGAATTGTGGAGTTTTTCATAAATATTTGAAAGAGTAAATTCATTTAGTCTTTGGAAACAGGCTTATTTCCTTATTTCGGTGGCTTTTTATAGTTGTGGGTTGAAATTTTCATCTTTTTATATGTATGCAGTTATATGTTTCAACCTTCTACAACTTGTGAAAATCATACTTTTAAATAAGTGTTTTTGTTTTTATAATAGGAACTTGTAAATATCAGCAATGGAAGATCTTTATGGTTACAAATATGTTAACTTTACCATATATTACCTTTTCTGGTTTCTAAAAATAAATGAAATTACACCACTTTTTTGTTTATTTTAACACCACAACTGTATCCTTATAGTAATGTAATTCCCATATATTAAGAATCTTAGCATATTAGGTCAATTCATATAAAGAACTTTTGGGTTTGAAATTGTAAGTTATGTGTTTGCCATCGTCTGTACTCAGCACTTTTGTTTGATGTCTTCCTAATTAAAATATCCTGTGCTTGGAAAACACAGCGCAACAGAACAACAGGGAACTCCTTCTTCAGAGCTGCCCAGCACGTCGCCTGCATTAGTTGCTGCCATTCCCTCGAGGTCAGTGATACACAAGCCATTCACTCAGTCTCGGATACCCCCAGATTTACCCATGCATCCAGCACCAAGGCACATCACAGAAGAAGAACTTTCTGTTCTGGAAAGCTGTTTACATCGCTGGAGGACAGAAATAGAAAATGACACAAGAGGTAAGAAGCTTCTTATCATGTAGCTACTGTCGTTTGACCTGGCTGTGTATACTCACATTGAGAGAAGGAAAATCAATTCTAGATTTCATATTTAAATATCCTGCTCACCATTTTCTAGAAAAGGTTTTATTTATACTAAAGTTGTCTGACTCTCCATTTTCTTGGATCTAATATTAGAATTACAGGGACCAAAACTTTCCTAGATTATGTGTCTGATTAATGACATAGCAGATGGTCTGATTTTCTACTTTAGTGTTCTAAATTTATATCAAACTGGTATTCAGTTACTCCATTGGTGAAATGCCATATTATACCAGTTTATACATACCAATTTTGTTTTTGACGTAGTATTTGCATACTAAAGAATTTTGAGTGATAAAAAAATCTTTTCCTTTAGCTTCAGAATTAGAAATAGGAATTTTTATTTTGAATCTACTCTGATTTCTAGACATGGTCTGTGCTACACAGGCCTAGTATCTAAGTTTTAACTGACATGCAGCAAAATAAGACTACATGCACATGCATGTGTTACTCATTGTCATCTGTCCAATGTTTTAAGGAAACTGTCCTTTGTTCTGAACTTAAATTGTTCCAAACTTTCCTTTGTTGTGAACTTAAATTTTTTTCTGATTTTAAAAAACCGCTTTTCATTTTTAGTGCAATGATGCTGTCAATATTTCATGAGAGTTTGTTTATATTTTCCATATTGTTAAACTATATCATGCTATCATTATCCCCAAGTGTTACACCAATTTTATTGTTCTCTAGAAAAAAAATATTAGAACTATTTTACATTGAAAGAATGAAGTTATATTGCATAGCATTATAGGATTTTCAGTGAAAAACTTGATTCCTTGTAAATGACATGCTGATAAAGATTAATCCTAATTTAATAGAGACCAAAAAATAGTAACCATTACCTTCCCTAGGTATAATGATTTTCCTTAATGTGTTTTAAATATAAGATATGTTACAAACATAAAGCACACATTGTTTACCTGACAGTATTTTGTTAAATGCTGGTAAATGTTGAGTGTTTTTCCACTGGGCATGATTTTAAGAGTTTATTCAGAGAGGTGGGAGCTAAGAAATCATTGAAACAAAGATGGTGACATTGAGTGAGAAAAGAAATAAATGTACGTTAATTTTTAAAATTTGCATATATCTATATCTACATATCTACATGTAGATATAGATAGACATGTAGATATGTAGATATAGATAGACATATATGGGGAACAATGACACATGTGGACCATTGACTACAGGTAAGTGATAGGAATAACTAAATAGAATATAGTTTAGATAAAGGCAAACTAGTGAGCAAGTTAGTGAAAATATGAATTCACAATATGATCATTTTAGATGAGAAGAGCTTCAGAAACATATCATGATTATTAGACAGCATTGTTGATCAGAAAGAAACTTCATGCAGATGTTCATTTCCTCTCTCTATTGATATTAAATTACATAATTTTAGAAGCTATCTTACTCCAACATCTTAGTTTGATTAATTACTCAAACTAATACTTCAAAACGGTATTTTGATATAATATCCATATTGGTATTCACTGTAAATAGTGCTAACTTTTTATGTAGCTATATATTTATGTACTGCTCCATATATTTAAAAATTTGATTTCTGTCTCCTCAAAACATTGAATCCCACTAGGTGTTTAGCAGAGAACTGACTCCCAGAATAGCCCTCAGAGATCCTGGGTACTTTTTACATCTGCAGTAGTCTGTTACTTGTTAAATGATACATCGTTTCTTACTTATGAGTGCAGATGTAATTGACTACGTCTTAAAAAATTCTTTCTGTTCTTTGTCTATTTTTGTATTTATAGACAACTTATTTAATATAGAAATGTACTCATTACCAAGTAATTGTAACCCCTCTGCACGGTATTTTCACAATAAAAAAACAAACAAAAAAAACAGACCAAACGATAAAAGTATAAAACATTATTTAATCTCTCCAGCAATTTATGAAGGAGTAGTCTGGTTTTTTTTTTGTTGTTGTTGTTGTTGTTGTTTTGTGGCCAGTCCTGGGCCTTGGACTCTGGACCTGGGTGCTGTCTTTAGGCTACTTTTACTCAAGGCTAGTACTCTACCATCTGAACAATAGCACCCCTTCCAGCTTTTTCGGTGATTAATTGGAGGTAAGAGTCTCATAGACTTTTATGCTCAGGCTGGCTTTGAACCACAATCCTGAGATTCCAGCCTCCTGAGTAGCAAGGATTACAAAGTGTGAGCCAGTAGTGTCTTAACTGCTTTTTTTTTTTTATATGGAGCCTCTTGCCTGTTTCTTATTGCTTAAGTGAAATTTAATATCTTATAGATATTAAAATTTGCCTTGGTTTATATGCTACAGATTTTATTTTTTATTTATCATTTGACTTTTATGTTGTTGGGTTTTGTTTTGTTTTCATACTGTAGTGTTGGTTTAAGTTTTTTGTCTGGGAGGCAGTGCTAATCGATGATTCCTAAGGTGTTTTTCCACTATAAAGTTACTATTTTTTTGTAGTATTTCTTGGCTTTCTCCTACTTCTTTGCAATTATAGATTAACAGTATACTATAGTGTTATACTGTAATTTATCCATTTCCCTATTGGCACATATTTATATTATATAATTCTTAAAACTACAAAAATATTTCTGGGAATGTTCTTATTTCTGAATAATTTTATAGGTTATTTTCTCCTAGATGTGGAAAATCATAGCCTATAGTTTTATTGTCATTAGTAATTATAGTGGATTTTTATTCAGTTTTGCATATATATATATATATATACACACACACACACACAGTGTTGTGATGTTATGTCATTTACTTTGTTTCAGTATATAGTGTTGTTTTTCACTTCCATTGAAATCTTCCTTTAGAGATTTTTTTGAACAAAGTTCAGTTTTGATAGCTGTGCATATTTTATAGATGACACAAATTTGCTTTAACTATGCATTTGAACTGTATCATGTATTAGAAGAAACACTGACTTCAATTTGTGATATTTTTAAGCACAGTTGTAACAACTCTTCTTTATTCCTCTAACATGATTGTAAGAAAATTCCATTACACTTGTAAGTTTAAATATAAATCCACTTGATGTTAATCATGAGGTGACATCTTACATCTTTAGATTTGCAGGAAAGCATATCCAGAATCCACCGAACAATTGAACTAATGTACTCTGACAAATCCATGATCCAAGTAAGTAACAATTTGAGTGAATATTTATTCTGTGTTATTTACTCATACTTCAATTAACTTTTTTATTATTTATCTTAACTGAATTCTTTATTACATGTTTCCTCATAAGATTTGCATAAATTTTATCACAAAAGAACAAAAGATCAGCAATAAGCAATAGTCACAACATTAAATTTCTCATAAACATTTTCTTTATTCACTTGTATTCGCTTTCCTACTTAGTTTTCACTTTTTCTAATTTTATAATTAACATCAGAATTTTTTAAAAGTTTCAGTTAAAAAAAATGGATCTAGGCACTGGTAGTTCACACCAGTAATCCTAGCTACTCAAGAGGATCACAGTTTGAAGCCAGCCTAGGCAGAAAAGTCTGTGAGATTCTTATCTCCAATAAACTACTCAGTAAAAGCCAGAAGTGACTCTATGGCTCAAGTGGTAGAGCACTGTCTTTGACCACAAAGCTCAGGGACAGCACCCAGACCCTGAATTCAAGACCCTGAATGGGCAAAAAAGAAAAAAAAAAGTCCAGTGTGAAGAACTATATAATTGTTTTAAAGGTGCAAGATTTAGGAGAAAGTGTAAGATTACTTTTAACTCTTGGTATATATTATGTCATCCATTTTTTAGGCATCAATTATAGTTGTGAAGATTTTGACAAATTTTATGTATATTTTATGTATAAAATTTCACCTAATGGAAGGCAACAAATTGGACTTAATAGTGGGTCAACATGTATATGCACAACAAATATATCTTCATTTTTTAAAAATCATCAAATAAAAGAACTGTTTTATACATCTATTGCTTATTTAGCTTTTTTTTTTAATTTTGTGGTCTAGTTGCCTCTTTCCAAGTTTAAATTCCAGCCATTTTTATCTCATTTTAAACAATGTGCATCTATTCTTTCCCTCAAAAAGGTAGTTGTGAATTTCACGGGGATATAATATAGTCGACTATTGAATTGAAATTTAACGTTTTTTTTTAAATTCTGTGTTTAGGTTCCTTACCGCTTACATGCTGTTTTAGTTCATGAAGGCCAAGCTAATGCAGGGCACTACTGGGCCTATATATTTGACCATCGTGAAAGCAGGTGGATGAAGTACAATGATATTGCTGTGACAAAATCATCATGGGAAGAACTCATGAGGGATTCCTTCGGTGGTTATAGAAACGCCAGTGCATATTGCTTAATGTACATAAATGATAAGGCACAATTCTTAATACAAGGTAAGAAGATGGTGGCATATATTTAAAAAGAAGTACTTTTTCGTGGCTATATGCAGTGTGATGAGTTAAGTGTAGCTCAGAGGTTGGTAGCTCTGACCAGGAAGTATGTTATCACTAGTACGAAAGCTGGAATTGAAATGGGGACGAAACCTGAGTATTGGTATACATTTTATGTTCAAAGTTAACTGTTAAATATGAATCTGTTTTTCCCTTTTTCATTTTTAGCAAAGGAGGTTTTGCTAAAATCTCTTTAACCTCTTTAAAACCTCTTTTAATGCTGAGCACTGGTGGCTCACACCTATAAGCCTAGCTACTAAGGAGGCTAAGATCTAAGAATCAAGGTTTGAAGCCAGCACCAGCAGGAAATTCTATGAGATTCTGATCCCCAATTAAGAAACAAAAAGCCAGAAGTAGAGCTATGACTTAAGTGGTAGAGCACTAGCCTTGAATGAAAAGTTCAAGGACAGCTTCCAGACTCTAGTTCAAACCCTAGGACCAGCACAAAAAACAAACAAAACCTTCTAATAACTACTATAACTATAATCAATACTGTAGTATTAATTCCTATGTGAACTCCTTAGCCTAGCACAGAGGCCTCTAACACTCCTGCCAGCTTCATTTATCACTGTTACCTTGAAATTTACACTTACTTTGCTGATACATAACACTACTTCACAGAATTACATCTCTAGGCTTTTAATTTAGTATTATTTTTTTCAGTTCCCAGTCCCCTCTCTCTTCCTTACTTCATTCTCTGTCTAATTCTAGCTCATCTGTCAGGATTCTGTTTGGGTGCCATCCTCAGATTTGCTCTCCTTGTGCTCTCCTAGCATACTTTTTGGCACTTATAGTGTGTTTTAATTGTGTGTTGACTTGTTTTGCACATTTACCTTTGTGCCCTTTATTTCCCTTTAAAACCAAAGTTCATGACATTCTGTGTCATAATTTATTTTTGATAGGCAGGTATGGGTTTTGATTTAGGAAACAGTAAAATTATATTAAAATGATAAAGTGTGTGTGTGTGTCCTGATATTTTGAACTTTCTTTTTGCTCAAACTACCAACTTTGTTCTACCAAGTTGAGACACATCTTCATTTCTTTTTTATTTTTTAAGTTAATTGGAGATAAGAATTTCACAGACTTTCTTGTTTGTTAAACCATTATCCTTAGATTGCAGCCTGCTGAGTAGTTAGGATTAGAAGTGTGAGCCACTGATGCCTAGCTGAAAATGGTAAACTTTAATATTTAACCATTGAATTCAACAAAGCAGCCCTTTATAATTGAAAAGGTATATATAGGGTGTGTGTGATTGTAAAATTGATTCACAATTTAAATAGTATGTAACTATAAAACATTTTCATATGTTGATTATCTTCATAATTACATATTTTTATGACTTTGGTTCACTGATTTATGGCTATACTTCACCAATTTTAGTTAGTTTAATAAATCTATTGAAAAAGTAAACCTTCCACTTCCTGAAATTTTATTTCATAATCGTAATTGTTCAAACATTTGGTCCTTTATTATAGCAAAAGTGGTATTTAATAGTGTTAGAGAACAAAAAAAATTGTAGCATTTTATATCTTGTCTCATTTTTATTGCTTAGTTAAAAATAATTGAATAAATTTCTGCTTCTGAGCCTTTGTTTTAAGAAGATCAAATAAAATTGATTTGTTGTATACCTATAGCACATCCATTTGTAATGCAGTCTGTTTTGAGCATTGTATTTTTCTTAACTATAAATTTTATACTAGTTTTTAAAATGATTTGCAGAGGAATTTAATAAAGAAACTGGGCAGGCCCTTGTTGGAATAGAAACATTACCACCAGATTTAAGAGATTTTGTTGAGGAAGACAACCAACGATTTGAAAAAGAACTAGAAGAATGGGATGCACAACTAACCCAGAAAGCTTTGCAGGAAAAGCTTTTAGCAGCTCAGAAGATGAGAGAATCAGAATCTTCTGTGACAACAGGTTTGTTAATTTCTATTCAATTGTATTTTACTTTTGATACATTATATCATTAATAATAAACTAAGGATTACTAATTGAAAATACAGATGCATAAAATCTCAACTATGTTCAACCACAGAGAAGCTGGTGGAAACCAATTATAATTCTAGCACTCAGAAATAACCACAGGTTATAATTTTTGTTACTTTACCACATACCACTGAATATCAGTAGAACTTTCTCAAGGTAGTTGTGATTCTTCATACCTGTCTGCTTTAAGTCTTGGATATTCTTGGAAAGAAACAGGAAAAACTGTGAAATTATCAAGTAACTCAACCAATTTCACTGAATCTGTCAAAAGAATAAGTTCTGTTTACTTCTGGTTTTATAAGAGAAATACTATTGGTATATTAATCCGTATTTTGTACAATACTGAAATAACACCATTGAATAGGATATTTTATTTTTGAAAATCTTCAGATTAAAAACCAACACTAAAGTAGTCCAAGAAAAATACAGTAGACCTATTGAAGATAAAAGTGCATAAAAATATAAATATTAAAAAGGCCATTCTCAAAACTGATAAAACTAAGTGGTCAAAGTAAATACTTAAAATGAAAATATATTTGAGGAAATTGAGAGTAACTTGTTTTCTAATTCTTGTTTTAAAGATTAATCATCACAGAGTTGTAAATATATTTTAGGGAAATATATTCTTTTGCTGTAAAGAAAATACTGTTTTTCTGTAAAAGTTGGGGAAATTATAACTAAACCTGGATTAATATTTTCAATGTCTCTTCTATCTGGGTAGTTTTTTTGGTAATAACCTTTTATTTTCTGATCTGTGGTATTTTTAAAGGAATTTCATTTTTGTTTAATTTCATCTTTCATAGAGAAATGTCTGTGCAGCATTTTGTGAGTAGGCTTGAGCATTACCATTTTGAACACTGGCAGAATGTTTCCTTTTGTAGGAAGTTTCAAATACTGTCAGATGTTATTGTTGACTGATGGAGGTAGGACTGTATAGGTCAGTCCATTCTGACTTGTAAATTTCTTTTGATGCAATCAAATAGTTGATTCCTTGATTTATTTTATCTGAAGAGACTAATAATTCACAATTATTAAAGACCACTTTTGTTGAATATCAAACAAAATTCAAGTGTTATGATACAATATCCCACTACACTGTAATGGCTGGTGAGCTCTACCATTTTGCAGGACTGTGCTTTCTTCCCACATCCATCCACATTTACCATGTGGAAGAGGTGAGACTGTGGGTCTGCAGCACTGTACTGTTGGCAGATGTCAGGAGGTTCCTGACTCCAATATATTCCTTTCATTTTTAAGCCAGATCCATTTCTTTGTGACTTTATTGCATCCTTCATCATCTTCTCTACATATCCTTCCCAATCACTCTCTTGAACTTGCCCAGGATGAAGCTACTTTATTATTCTTCCCTTAAAGTGCACATGTAAATTTTCTTTTTATTTATAGAAGCATAGGGCCACATAATTAACATAAGTTGTGGAAGTAGTACCTGAGCACGTAGGCACTGTGAACTTTTAATCATTGGTGGAGCTACAACCTTACTCTTGGTGTACCTACATTTCATCATTCTAAAATAGAAAATTTTGTGAGTCTACTCTTCTTTATCTTGCCTGTTCTTTATTTTTAGCATAAATTAATCCATTGTGATATTTAATTACATGCATATACTGCTTTTCTGCTTTATAGTACTTTATAGTACTCTTCCTTAACCTTCTCTTTCTTCCCCTTTTAAAGAGTTTTTAGTGAGTTTCGTTTAGCTCAAAGTATATGTATGTGTGTGTATGCATGTGAGTACAATATATAAGAAGTAATATACAATACTTCTATAATATTCTGTCAATCTGTCTTTTCTTCTCCCTAGTTTCTCTCCCCAAATAGTCCCCCTTTTACAGTTAAGTCATATATACATACTATTATCATTATTCTAGGTCTAGTATCTGTATACAACGAAAATATACAGCATTTATTTTTCACAGCTTGGTTTAACATGATCTATGTTTCTATTCATTTTCCTGTAATTGACATCATTTTTTCTCTCTCTCTCTCTCTCTCTCTCTCTCTTTTTTTTTTTTTTGCCAGTCCTGGGACTTGAACTCAGGGCTTAGGCACTGTCCCTGAAGCTCAAGGCTAACCACAGCATCACTTCTAGGTTTTTCTGTTTATGAACTTCAGGCAGGCTAGGCAAGCATTCTACCACTAAGCCATATTCCCCATCGCATATCATTTCTTCTTTATGATCTAATAATTCTCCATTATGTATACACCACATTTTCTCTATCTAAAATTGGTGGTGGGCACCTAGGCTGGTTCAGTTTTTTTGGCTGTTATAAATAGTGCTGCTAGAAATCTCTGTGTGCTAGTATCTCTCAAATTTTGACTTACATTCCTTTTGGTATATAGCCAAGAGGTTGTAACAGAATCTATATTTAGTTTCTTGAGGAATCGCTATACTTATTTCTGTCATTGCTAAACTAGTTTTACTTTCCCATCAACAGCATTTATTATTTGTCTTCTTGATTACAACTACCATTCTGATTCAGTGTCTTTTGATTTGCCTTTCCTTTATGGCTAAGGATGTTGAATATTTCTTCATGTCTTATTAACCATTTATATTTTGAGAACTATTTGTTCATTTACCCAATCCCAATAGCGCTATTTGTTCTTTGGCTCTTTTATTTTTTTTAGCTCTGTATATGCTGAATAATTCTTTATCCATTGATGAAGTAGCAAAAATTTTCTCCCTATTTTCTGGATAGACCCTTGATCTTGGTAATTATTTATTTTGATACACAGAACACTTTAATTTTATGCTGTCTTACCTGCCTGTTTTTTGCCACTACTTGCTGAGCTCTTGGAGTCCTATTTAGAAAGTAGTAATTTCATTGATGAAGGTCTTACATTGAGATATTTGTCTTTGAAATGATTTTAGAACAGAGTGAGAGGCTGGTATCTAATTTTAGTTTTTTGTATCTAGATATCCAGTTTTCCAACATTTGTTGAAGATACTTAGGCTTGTCCATCAAAACTCAGATGGCCAAAATTATGTGGGTTTATTTCCGAATTTTCTATTATACACCATTTATCTATATTTTTGTGCAATTGACATTTTTTGTGCCATTGACATAATGTTTTTGTTAAAGGTAAAATATTGTGATATATCACCTTGAGATTTTGGTGATCATTATAGTGAATCTGTAGATTGCTTTCCATAGTACAGGTTTTTTTTCACAATACCGCTTCTGTCAGTTCATTTTCTTATGTCTTTTTTATTTTTCCTTTAAGGTTTCATAGTTTTTATTGTAGAGGTATTTCATGTTCCTACATTGTAAATGGAATAATATTCCTGACTTTTTTTTCTGTTCATTTGTTGTTTATAGAGGAAAGCTACCGAGTTTTGTATGTTTATTTTGTATTCTGCTACATTGCAGAAGTGTTGATCAGATCTAAGAGTTTTGTTTTGTGTTCATTTGTCTTTAGGGATTAAGTATAGCATTATATCATCATCAACAAGATAATTTGACTTCTATTGAATGCTTTTTATTTCTTTCTGTTGCCTTACTGCTCTGGCTAAGAATTCCTGCACTATATTGAGTAAGAGTGGAGACAGTGTGCAAGCTTTTATTTTTCAGTTGAACAAATAGTTTCAGTATTCCCCCATTCAGGATAATGTTGGCTATAGGTTGAACATGATATAACTTGTGTTATATTAAGTGTGTTCCTTATTTTCTTAATGGCTTTTATTATGAAGGGATGTTGAACTCTGTCAAAGGCTTTTTATGCATCTGGTGAGGTGATTATGTGGTTATTGTCCCTGATTCTGTTTAAGCCCTGTATTGTATTGTTGATTTGTATATATTGAACAATCCTTTCATCTTTGGAATGAAACAGTCATGGTTTATGATCTCTTTTATTGGTTTTTCAATTCAGCCTCCAAGTATTAAGGGCTTTTGTTTTTGTTTTTGTTTTCTTTTTCATTAAGGAAATTGGCCTGCATTTTTTTTAACTTGTTCTGGTAATTCTGGCTTCAGAGAATGAGTGTCACAGAATTTCTTCTTTGTTTCATAAAATCATCTTGCTTGCTTCTCGTTTAGCTCCCCAAATTTAGGGTTAATACATTTTATTTTACTATCAAATTAGCATACCTGTTTGATAAGAACTACATTCTTAATTTTATTGGCTATTTTTTTTATAATCAGTGTCTCCCATTACACATTTCCAAACTGTTCTGTAGTTTTTATTTTTTTATTTTTTATTTTATTTTATTTTATTTTTTGGTCCGGTTGGGGAGTCTGAACTCTGCCTGGGCGCTGTCCCTTAGCTCTTCAGCTCAAGGCTAGCATTCTACCACTTGAGCCACAGTGCCACTTCCGGCTTTTTTCTTTTTTTCTTTTTGCTGAGGAATTGAACCCAGGGCCTCATGCATGCAAGGCAAGCGCTCTACCACTGAGCCACCTTCCCAGCCCCTGTTCTGTAGTTTTTAGAATTCAGTACTACTTGTTGGCCCCTCGTTTTATTTATTTAATGTTTAATTTTAATTCATTTTGCTGTAACTAAGGTTTTGAACGTAGCCATGCTGTGCTAGGCAGATACTGATCTTTGCCTTCAGCTTCTCCTTCTGATGATTAATTATGAGATGGTTTATCACTTTCTTCCCAGGCACATACCTGGACAATAGTCTGCCTGCTTTAGGCTTCCAGTTGCAGCTAAGATAACATGCACATGTCCCTGTGTTCAGTATGAAAAGGAGTCTCTTGAATATATTTTTTAAGCCTCTGCCGGTCTCAAACTTCAGTCTTCCCAGTCTCAGCTTCCAAGAAGCTTGGGTAATAGGCATGAGTCACTGATATCTGGTTCATGTCTTTTTTTTTTCTTTTTTTTTTTTGTCAGTCATAGGGCCTGAACTCTGGGCCTGGGCACTGTCCCTCAACTATTCAGCTCAAGCACTTGAGCCATAGCTCCACTTCTAGCCTTTC